AGGCCGAAAATCAATTTTGGAGGTCTTAATCTACAAAAAAATCTCTAGGTAATTTTCGAAGGTAGTGGAAACGATCGAAAGTTGAAAAGAAGCAATTGTTGAAAAACTGAACTTTTGAAAAAATTGATTAGAAATTCCCAAAAAAATTCTATAATATAGATTTCGACGTACCGATTCGAAAAATATAAAGTGTTGAAAATAGCCTCGCAGTGAGAATTTGAAAATATTCGATTTGAAAATTTTTTTTTTAGTGTCTCAAAAATTGCCGTATTTCACTGAGCAATTTTTGCAAAATTGTAGTTTTCGAAGAAATGAGGCCGAAAATAACTTCTAAAGATCTAAATCTACAAAACAATGTCTGGGTAATTTTTTAAAAAACCCCAAAAAGCTCGAAATTTTCATAAATGTGAGTATTAAAAAATTAAGCTTTTGAAAAATTTGTCTAAAAATTCCCAAAAAAAATCTGAAATTATAGCGTGTTCATAGTCTCTACTCAAAAATTTAGAAATATTTCATTTTAAAGTCAATTTTTTTCAAAAAGTTCAAAAAGTTGCTGAACTTCATTGGAAAATTCTGGTAAAAAGGGTAGCAGTTTTCTAAGAAATGGGCCCAAAATAAATTTTGGAGATCTTAATCTACAAAAAAATCTATAGATAATTTTTGAAGATAGTGGAAACGATCGAAATTTAAAACGAAGCGAGTATTGAAAAACTAAGCTTTTGAAAAAGTTGTCTAAAAATTCCCAAAATATTCCAAAATATAGATCTCGACGTAGTGATTCGAAAAATGTAAGGTGTTGTTGATAATAGCCTTGGAGTGAGCATTTGAAAATATTCGATTTGAAAATCTTTGTTTTTAATGTCTCAAAAATTGTCGTATTTCATTGAGCAATTCTTGAAAAATTGTAGTTTTCGAAGAAATGAGGCGGAAAATAGCTTCTGAAGGTCTAAATCTACAAAAAATATATTTTGGTAATTTTCGAAAATGCTCCAAAAAGCTCGAAATTTTCATAAATGTGAGTATTAAAAAATTAAGCTTTTGAAAAAGTTTTCTAAAAATTCCCACAAAAATCTTAAATACAGATCTGGACGTACTGATTGAAAAAATATAGCGTGTTTAGTTTCTACTCAAAAATTTAGAAATATTTCGTTTTAAAGTCTTTTTTTTCAAAGAGTTCAAAATGTTGCTGTACTTCATTGAGCGATTCTAGAAATATGGTAACACAGTTTGAAGAAATAACACCGAAAGTTAATTTTAGAGGTCTAAATTTAGAATTTAAGAATTTAAAAATATTCGCTTTTGAAATCAATTTTTTCAAAATGTCTCAAAAATTGCCGGATAGTATTAAAAAATGAGCTTTTGAAAAAGCTGTCCAAAGATCCAAAAAATTCTAAAATATAGATCTCGATGAACTGTAACAAAATGTAACGTCTTTATAGACCCGGAGCAAGAACTTAGAAATACATATCTATAAATTTTAAAGAACAATATTTTCAAAAAAATCTCAAAAATTACCCTATTTCATGGGACGATTCTGGAAAATGGTGGTTTTCGAAGAAATGAGGCCGAAAACAACTTCTGAAGGTCTAAATCTACAAAAAATGTCTCTCAATAATTTTCGGAAATGCTCGAAAAAGCTGGAAAACTTTCATAAGGGGCGAGAATTAAGAAATTGAGCTATTGAAAAAGTTATCTAAAAATTCTTAAAAACTTCCGAAATAGAGACCTACGCACTAATTCGAAAAATATAACGTATTTATAGTCAAAGCAATAATATGAAATATTCGGTTTGAAAATCAATTTTTTGTTAATTCCAGAAATTGTCGTATTTTATTATAGGATTCTGGAAAAATCGAAAAACGATCGAAAAATGGTCGAAATTTTCACGAAGTGCTGAAAAATGTTGCTTATATTCTTACTTTCTCATAATTTTAATAAGATTTATAAGTTTCTGATCATTTATGGTTTTTGAGTTGAAAATTCTAAATAGTTCACTTCCATCAATAAACAAAAGTTCTAATTTTACTCTCAATTGAATAAATTGTCTTTTAATTTTACCCCATTTTTTATAATTTTACAAGACAGCCAAAGGAAAATATTGTATTAAGGTTTTTAAATGAATACAGTATACCGCAATAATCCGAATTAATTGGGGAATTGTGTTCGGATTAGCGATTTGTTCGGATCAGCGAATTTCCCAAAAAGCGCTCAGAGGGAATCGAACAACAACTTCATACACTGCTGAAAACAAATTTCAAGAAATAAACCTTTATTAAACAAAAATAAAGTATTCTTAACCAACAATAGATAATAGATACATTCTAAAAAAATATTACTCCGCGATCATAACCACGTTATATTTTTGGATTCAACACGTCGGGATCTATATCCCTGAATTTTTAGATGACTTTTTCAAAAATAAAATTTCCCATTATGTATTCGTATTATCTCCCTTATGCAAATTTCGACTCATTCTCAACGATTTTCGAAATTTAACTAAATACTCCCATGTAGATTTTGGGCCACAGAAGTCACTTCTGGCTTCACTTCTTCGATAACTTAAACCGCTTTTCCAGAATCGTCCATTGAAATATCGCAATTTTCAAAAATTTCAAAAAATTCGAATTACACACCGAATTTTCCGAAAATATTGCTGCGTTATCATAAACATGCTATATTTTTGGAATCAGCACGTTGGGATATATATATCTCTGAATTTTTTCAGAATTTTTAGACAACTTTTTCAAAAATGGAATTTTACACTGTGGTAGTAGGACTTGCCAAATAATCTATCGTCTAAGAAAATAAAAGGCGGATGGGCCAGGCTAGTATTTGCCAAAATAAGACTCAATTTGACAAATGACCTACTCTTCTAAGAAAAGGTACTAACTTCGCCCACCCTCCCTTTATTTTCTTGGAAGAGTAGGTCATCTGCTAAAATCAATCTTATTTTGGCAAGTATGAAACAGATTTTTGCAAATGACATATCCTCTAAGAAAATAAGGGTGGGTGGGCGGGGCTAGTACTTGTCAAGATAAGACTGATTTTGGCAGATGACCCACTCTTGTAAGAAAATAAAGGGTGGGTGGGCGGGGTAGTACTTGTCAAGATGAGACTGATTTTGGCAGATGACATATCCTCTAAGAAAATAAGGGAGGGTAGGCGGGGCAGTACTTGTCAAGATGACACTGATTTTGGCAAATAACATATCCTCTAAGAAAATAAGGGAGGGTGGGCGGGGAGCTAGTCCTTGCCAAGATAAGACTGATTTTCCTAGATGATTTATTCTTCTAGGAAAATAAAGGCTAGGTGGGTGGCAGGTGTGGCTAGTACTTGGTAAAAAAAAATAAAAAATCAAAAAATGACAAATTGAAAAATCAGATAAATAAGAAATCCGAAAATTGTACAACTGTATAATCGGAAAATCAAAAACCAAAATATCGAAAAATTGAAAAAAAAAACAAATCTTATAAAATCGAATTTGAAATTCCTCTCTTCATTTTTTTTTTAATTTATAGATTTTTCAACTTTTGATTATTTCATTTGATAATTTTTTTGACAATTTTGCAGTTTTTAATTTCAATTTTTTGATTTTTCAAGTTTTAACTTTACAATTTTGGAATTTTTTGATTTTTAATTTTTCAAGTTCTCAAGTTAAAATTTTTCTTTTTCACGATTTATCATTGGGAGGGTGGGCGGGGCTAGTACCTTTTCTTAGAAGAGTAGGTCATTTGCCAAAGTGAGTCTTATTTTGGCAAATACTAGCCTGGCCCACCCGCCTTTTATTTTCTTCGAGGGTCGCAGAAGTCACTTTCGCCCTCATTTCTTCGATAACTTCAATCTTGTTTCCAGAATTAATTAATTAATCCAGTGTATCACAATTTTTAAAAATTTCAAAAAATTTCAAAAAACGTACAGAAAAATGTCGGATTAGTGGATGTTCGGATAATCGTGGGTTCGGATTATAGAGGTTATACTGTGATTATTTTTATATTTTTCTGACGTTCCAAAATTTCCTCCCATCGTATTGTCAATGGTAAAATCTGGCTGCTTAGCCACTACAAAAAATGTATGACGTCATCTGAAAATTGATGTAGTAGTTTATCCTTATTTTTGATAGACCAACTAAAGTCAATAACCTACATAAATTATAAAATTGAATTATTCATCCCTTCCAAAAATTTAATGACGTCTTTCTGGAAAGTATTAAATTAATACTCGATGTTTTTTTGCAGAGTATTGGATACACAATTTTTAAACTGAATGTCTATGTAAAAAGATTTATTTATCGATTACTTCAAGAACTCTTCATTTAAATAGTTAATTTCTCTGAAACTTTAGGAACATAATGTCGTTACGATTAGCGCTACACTGAACAAGAGTTGATAACGTTATCTGAAGGAATTATTACATAAATTTGCATTAAAGAAAAGTTAAGTGTACATAGTTTTACGCACAAAATACAAAGTATTAATTTAAGCTTGTTCTATTCTTAAAAAGATATTTTTATAAATTTTAATATTTACACATTCCAAAGAATAGCGACAGTTTCATGCTTATCATTTCTTTAATCCACTATCTTAAAACTAGGATTTTTTAAAATAACTATTAGAAACAATCAACCGTTAAAAAATTCAGCCGAAGAAAACAACACAAGATAAAAATCCCTAAATAACACAAATTACATTCCAAGATTGGCGTTGTTTACTAGCTGCTCACAAATATCAAATTTAAGTACATAGCAACGTAACAACTAATCATTACAGAATAACAAGCAATAGCGTCATGGAAATTGGCCTTCAAGCTACACTGTTGCTCAACAACAGTGCATATATATTTTATTTGATTTTGAAATATTATTATAACACTCAGAGCTAACTTTGAATTGATTTTTTTAAAAAGCTAAAGAGAAGGTAAAAAAAAGACGCTGAAATTTTTTAAATTTTACTACGAAACATACGCTGAAAAATTAAATAAATTACACTATATTGCTAAGCTATCTACATCATGTCCCTAAAATTCTCCACCCTCGGCTGAAAGGGATGAAGCAAATCCGAGTGCTGCTCTGGAATTTGATAATAATTACTATAGGACCCTGCCATGTCGTGACTTTCGCCCTCAAAAGGCCATTGTCGATCGTAATGCCCTGAAAACTTGTAAATTAAGCGTGTTTCCGTAACTAGATTAAGTGGATGAAACACTTTAGAAGAACGGTGACAGGATACGAGAATATTGCGTAAACTGGCTGAACAACAGCGATTTACAAAACTAATTTCACTAACGTCTCATAAATCCCGCCCGGTATGAATATCGCCTTAATGCACCTGTTCACGCAGACCGAATAAAATTCAAAAATACCTACAAGCATTATTCGCAAACGACAGATCATGGATATTATTATTATTATTATTATTAGTTTATTACGGAATAACTCCAATTACAAAAAGTAAGAAAATTAAACTTACAAATACATAAGGTATATGATTAACTTAATTAATTATCTTTATAACAATGATCATACAATAAACACAAAAAGAAACAATTTTAAATTATCCGAATTATACAAGATTATTTATCATTCTCTTAAATACAACAAGGTTTGAGTTAAAAATATCAAATTTTACAAAATTAGATAGTTCGTTTGCTTGTTTCATCATTCTTCGCAATGGGTGGTTAGTTGACATATTAGTAGATGCTTTGTTAATTCTGAAAATTTTACAAGATCTAGTAGTTCTGCAGTTTTTATTTGGAACCCTAAACATTAGTTTGGCTAATAAGTCATTACTATCTATATGGTTGTTAATAATGGCGTGAAGAACACATAAATCCGTTATATCTCTACGTATCTCCAAGGATTTAATATTGAGGAAGCTCATGACCCATTCATATTCACCTTGTTGATGTAGATGATGTTCTTTAAATTCAATAGACCTCAAAAACTTTTTTTGAACACGCTCTAACAATGAAATATGAGTGTCGCATGTTGGATGCCAAACTGAAGAAGCATATTCCAGAACAGAACGCACGAGAGAGCAATATAGCACTTTAAGTGCATGAGAGCTCATATCCTTGCAATGGCGCCAAATCAATCCCCACATCTGCAGAGCCTTGTTAAATATGTATCGATAATGACTTTTGAAAGAGAGTTTATTATCAAAAAGTATGCCGAGATCTCTAATTTCACTAACAGGCTTGAGCAAACTTTTCCCAATATAATAATCATAATCGATCATATTTTTTTTGTTAGAAAATGTAATTTTATGACATTTATTTAAATTCAGTTTTAAAAAATTTGTTTCACACCATTCATATATATTATTTAAATCCTTTTGTAATTCCTGACAATCAGTTATGGATGAAACTTGTTTATATATCTTTAGATCATCTGCATAGAATAGAAATTTTGAAGATTTAATACAATAACTCAAGTCATTTATAAAAAGAAGAAATAAAATTGGACCACAATGTGAGCCCTGGGGTACTCCAGATGTAACTTCAAAATAATCAGAAATGTGGTTGCCAATTTTAACCTGTTGCCACCTATTAGTAAGAAACGATTTAACCCATTTTATGGAATATTCTCTAAAACCAAGTCTATTAAGCTTTGAAATTAATACATTGTGATCCACTCGATCAAATGCTTTTGCGAAATCTGTATAAACAGCGTCCACTTGACATTTATTCGCAAATGATTCATTGAGAAACGAATAATATTCCAAAAGGTTGGATAATGTTGACTTATTTTTACAAAAACCATGCTGTTGATTAGTAAGTAATTTTGAAACTGCCCACTGTAACTGCTTAGCTATGATGGAATCGAAAATTTTAGGGATAACCGATTGATTGGAAACACCTCTATAGTTGTCAACTTTGTTCCTTTGACCAGATTTAAAAATAGGTTTAACATAACTCAGTTTCCAAACATCAGGAAATACACCAGTATCCAAGGACTTGCTGAATAACATAAATAGTGGTATTGATAAAGTACATATACACTTTTTTAAGAATACATTGCTTAAACCGTCTGGTCCAGCATTTGTAGAGTCATTCAACGAAGAAATAGTGTTAAATATATCCTTAATCGTTATTATAAAACCCGTATCAATAACTTCATCTTTAAATTGACTATCAATTATCTTAGAAGAATCATTAACCATATAGACCGATGAGAAAAATTCTGCGAACAAATTGGCAACTTCTTTACCACCATTCACCACTCTATTTAAATAAGACATTTCTTCTGGAATATTGTTAGGGACTTTCCTTTCTCGAATAAATTTCCAAAAGACATTAGGATTGTTAATAATGGAAACGCTGACAGTATCCACATACTATCTATAAAGACTTTTCGATAGTAGTTTACATTTTGATCTCAAACTCTTAAAATAAACGTAATCTTGAAGTTCATTCGATTGTTTAAATATAGCGTGTGCTTTCCTTTTTTCGTAGCACAGTGTTTTCAGTTCAGAACTGAACCATTGAGGGTATTTGGAAGATTTTATTTTTATAACCTTTTTTGGAATATAAACTTCTAAACCTTCATATATAATATCATAAAATATCGCTATCATTTCATCAAGCTCATAACCTTCAAAGCATGTATTCCAACACACAGAAGCTAAATAATCATTAAATAGAAAGTAATTACCATTTGCAAAGTCGAATACAGTGTATTCTATTTCAAGAGATGGATTTGAAGCGGTGCAGATCGACCACGAATAAGGAATATGATGTATACTATCCCCTACTAGTGGATCAATTGCAGGGTAAATTTTCATTTCAGTTACACTTGTAAAGATTAGATCGAGAAAAGTATTTCGATTATTCGGAATTAGATTAACTTGAGTTAAATTTAAAAATGAATAAGTACTAAGTACAACATCGTAGCAGTCTTGATTAAGAACAGTATGCCCATGTCCTTCAACACCGTTTTGGGTCCATTTAATATCAGGTAAATTAAAGTCACCTGTAACTATGAATTTATGATCGGGAAATTTTTCTGACACTATTTCCATATCATTACAATGTGATTCATATGCACTAATGTGCGAATTCGGAGGAATATAGACACCCGCTATGATGAAAGCTGAACCGTTCAATTTCAGAGAAACATAAAGACTTTCAACAACCTCACCAATATATACAATCGAAGAATTCAAACATTTGTTAATGGCTATCAATACTCCACCTCCTCGAGATTTGGCACTAGTAATTTCGTTGCGATCTGCACGGTAAATATTAAAATTATGTAACATTAACTCCTCATTTTGTATTTTTTCACATAACCAAGATTCTATAATTATTACGACATCATAAACACAACTATTGACATTAATTGAAAATTCCTCTAATTTAGATCTTATTCCCCCAACATTATGATAGTAACAGTTTATTAGTTTTTTGGGACATTTTTAGAAGAATTACGTTTAATTATATAAGGAGTGTTATGTTTATATCTCAAAGCCAAGTCTTCTCCTTTCGAAAGCCTGTCTTGCAATTCTTTCTTAACTGCATTTATATGCTTCCTTTGTCTTTCCGTCAAGTCCGGACAAAAATGGTTATTTCGGTTTTTGTTATTTTTGTTGGACTTTAATACTTCTTTTGCATCGTTTTCATTGTTGTAAATAATTTTCATTGGACGATTATGATTATCTTTAGAAACTCCAAGTCGAACAATTGTTTTAGGATTAGGAAATGCTCCTAAAGGTGATAAAATGGCTTCAACTTTTTTAAAGTCATCGGCAACTCTTTCGGCGACGTTTGTTGCTGACGATTCTTTAATGTTGAATAATAAGATGTTAGATGCTCTTTGCTTACGATCTTCAATTTCTTCTATAACGCTATCGACATTGCACGTCCCAGAGTTTTTAAAAGTATCTAATTCATTCCTCAACAATTTGACATCATTTTCAACGGCAGAAACTCTATTATCCAGTTTACCAAAATAGTCATCTATTTTATTGAAAAATTCTGCTTTAAGTACATCTAATTGATTTTTCATAAGTTGTTCCATTTGGGCAAAAGTAATAGGTGCTGAGGTAATGTTAGTCATTATTAAGCATTTAGAACAGCTCCATGGATCCTTATTAACAGTAAATTTTACAAGATCGGGTTCGGGTAAATTCAAACAGTTTACGTGGAAGTGCTTTTTACAAGCTCCATTACATTTAAGTGACGGGGTGGTAGGTGTTACAGCGCCTTCACAATGAAAGCAAGAGGCAGGCATATCGGCAGATTCTCAAAAAATTAGAGGAACAACCACAGGGACACAATTAAATGCACCTTGGGGTCTTTCAAGGTGACTTAGTACACGAGACAGTCGGACCACGGAAGGGGAATTCACTGATTAGACAAAGGTGAGAGGTAAAAACAAGCCACGATAAGATAATTGCAGTAAATCGTAACTTACAACGGCCCTTCTGTGAAGAGGGATTACACCAGTGACGAACCACTTATGTAGTCAAAAAGACCACGTAAAGATCTTGCGAATAAGACCAACTTTACAAAAATTGAACGCCAATTTCTTTTCAAATAACCACAAAACTACAGAGCACGGCAAAACAGTACTGTCGCTACCATATACGCAATGAACGCAACAAAAACGCTGTCATCCGCCTCTAAAGAATTATAGTTTACGCTGCAGGAGTCGTCCTTACAGGGTCCGTGATGGTCCGGATTCGTGGCGTAGAGACCATAATTCAGATTACTCGTGGCGATTTTCTTAAGGCCCTGAATGGCGGTCAATATAAGGGCCATTTTCGCCAAAAGGAGAGCTTTTCCGCCTAATACCGCAAGAAACTGGAACCCCATAGGAACCATAATCAAACCCACGGCTGCTATCCCGAACAATAGCAGCGACATAAACATGTTCTGTTGCTTCTTTCTCCCTCTACCTACAAAAACACGAATCACTTGTTCAAACACGTAGTATTAATAATATTAGTGTCAAAAGGAATTTTAAAAATTCCTCTAATCTGAATATGCAAAAAAAATTTAAATTTCAATTATCACAGCGTCGCTGTCACAAATTCTAGAAACGTTACTTTTATTAAGTCCGGTCTTTTTAAGCGAATTTGGATTAGCATGTTAATTACACGATCCATTCGCTTGACAAATAACGGTGAGAAAAAAATTAGCGCTGTCAAGACAGTCGGTCCTTTCGTGATTAAGATTTTACGAATGAGTTTTATGCGGAATAATCCAATATTAAGTATAAAAGAGGAATAAAGCGAGATTAGCTGCGTAATTTTATACCGTAGATCGAGTGGAAAAAATACCCTTAATTCTTACCCTCTTGGCTGATGATGCTCGTCAGTTCCTCGTAGCCATTAAGACGTATTTTAAGGACGTGTGTATTGAGAACGTGGGCGATCCTTTGCAGAATCTCATTTTTCCAGTCAGACTCCATATCCGTCGATCGGAAAAACGCAACTTCTCTGCAAATTAGCGAACATTCAGTCGTCTGAACCGGCTTTAATTGCTCCATTTTGATTGATTATGCACTGTAGGGTGTCGGTAATAATCGTAAATATAAAAGCACCTTTTAATCGGCCTAGTTAGCGATGTTTTTCTGGAGTTTTAATTACTGCTAATTTTTTTTTTTTTCAGACATAAAACCACCCCTCCTTCCCCTATTGTGTCGGCGACATTTCCTTCTCATTGTTCAATGTTTGGAAGGAAGTATAAAAACGAGAGGATACTCGAGTGTAATAATTATTGATTTATAGAAGAATTATTAAATCGCTTGGCTCATCCAAAGATTGCCATTTCCTCGTACGTTTCATGAACCATAAAATTTGATAACGAACAACGAGCGAAGATTTTCTTGAGAAACAAGATACAGTCAAGCTATTGATTTATTTCTTTGATCAAATACGCTTTCAATTAAATTCGGTTTAGGCTTGCTTTATTTTCACAAAAGAACAATTATTCGCGAATTTTATTCAGCTTAGTGGTCGGAAAACGCGGAATTCAAATAAATTTTGAGCACTTTGGTTATTAAAACGGGATAACCGCTGAAACAAACCCGGCGCCTCCGCCAAATGTTTCTAAATTAATTACAATTTAGTTAATTAAAGATAGTTTGATTGTAACAAAAAAGTTTTGCTTTATTACCTGGCATCTTGCGTTTCGTTTTCCCCTCTGTATCTAACTAATTCTACGGCAGTTCCGAGTCTAATAACATCAGCTTTCAGCGAGTTATCCAAAACTACCAAACTCCCACGCTTTAAACATCGTTGCAGGATTAGCAGGAATTGTTCCTGAGGCCCATCAGAACTTAGCGGCATACAGTTCTGAATTAATAGTCCTGTCAATCTTCCTGCTGTCCTCCACATATTTTCTCTTTTATTCCCTACAGTAAGCAACTTGTTGCAGTGCACTATGGAGAAGAATAATAAGATTCGCCCCAATGAGTTCTGCTTATTAGGTGACATTCTGGAATTGAAAAATTTTATATAAGTAATTACGAGAAGGATAACGTAAAGGAAGGAATATTTTAATGGAATGTGTCAGTCATACAGCAGCAGCTTTATCAAAGTATCGTTTATTTCCATTCGAATTTATACATTTTAGAATTACAAAATCGTCATTACAATTTTAAAGAATAAATTATAATGTCGGTATTACGACATCTCTGGTTATATAGACTGTTTCATAACAATTGAACTATTGAGTTTTCAAATTTACTATTTATCTACATCTCTGTAGATAATTAATTAATCCGAGAAAAGCAACTCAATAATTGTTTCTAATTCAATTATTACTTGTTTTTTAAGATTTAAATTTTTATGGATTTTATTTATTTATTTATTTAACCAAATTAATTGATCTTGTATGAATTTTCCTTATAATTTCACACATTTTAATAAAAATCTTATACAAAATTGTTCGCCACCAACTTGCTAAATTTCCAACAATGTTTCGACTATAAATTATGTTGTTACAGCAAAATGTAAAACAATGTATCTCACTGAAATATGAACCGCATCAAAAAAAAAACTCTTGATACCAATGTACTCTTTTTAACTCCATTTATTAAGTATTATATTTCTTTGTACAAACATTCGGCTATAGACAGTTCTAATTACGAGTACATTATGAAAAGCATAGGTTTTTTAAAAGTTTCGAGGTAAAATCTCTTTAATTTCGTTCTCCATTGGTTTCCTTACTAATTATTTCATTCCCAGATGGTTTCATGTTTCATTAAAATTTCTCAAAATTTTAAAAATGAACCAATAAAGTCACCTTCCTTACCATGATGTGTGTAATTTTTTCAGAATTTATTGGGGTGTCCTATGAGAAAGGACCTCTAAGGGACCATCTGTTAAATTAATTTCTAGTGGACTCGAAAAACGAAAAAGCCTTAATACCACTTTTATGTTTTCCCGACGTTTCATGATCCCTAGAGTACGTCCCCCGTTTCCGTCTGCCTGTCTGTCATTTGTCCGGATCTTTGTTAGACAGATAATCTCCGAAACTACTGAACCGATTGTTGTCAAATTTGATGTCTATTAGATATATCGTGTAGATAGTAAAACGTTAACCAAAATTTGGTTATAAATTTTATTATTATTATCATTACTGATATTATTATTTATTGACGGATAACTCCAATTACAGTACTAGAACGTAAAATAATTGTACAAGAATGCAAACTAAATAGTTGATTAATTCATCTAATATCATCGTTAATATTAAGAAAAACTAAGAATAGAAATGAGAACAGATAAAATACAACAATATCTAAATTAAATTTAATAAAACAGTGATTTATAATCCTAAACTAAAACTTTTATTGTTATAAGATACGGTATCCTGTACTTGTGGTTTGTAAAAAATCCGCATTGAGTTTTTACCCTATAGATCCAGAATTTTGGGAAAAAAATCAAAATTGTATAACATTTTACAATTTAACTTTGATTTTCAAAACTAAATGATGTGAAATCTTGTAAATATTTTAAGGTAACTATTGAAAGCATTGTAAACCATTAAAATTTATCCATTTATACCCTCGCAAAAAATGATGACGTCACCTTAGAATGTTGCCGAATGTTCTTCAAATTTCTGAATGTTTAGGCTAGCTTTATTAATTAATTAGTTCTCCTTTCCGCTGCTTTAAGAACACAAAATCAATCAAATTTCATTTTCTTTTAATCATTGATGCTTGAAATCTGAACGTGCTAATAAACGAATTCTTTCGAAGTATAAACATAAACAGTCGAAGTTAAGCATGTACTATGAAATTGAGAATATCTACCTTTTTTCCATTTGCTATCTGCTTTAAATATATCTGTCAGCACTTCTATTATTTGTTCTATTTTGCGATATGCAACTCTTCATGTTCTCATTTTCAAATTTCAGTTTTTCGATTTTCCAATTTTTGGACTTTTCAATTCTTAAATTTTTTAATTTTTTGGTTTTCAATTTTCAATTTCAGTTATTTTAAGTTTTCGTATTTTAGACTTTAGGTTTTTCAGTTTCTCGATTTTTCAATTTTTCCATTCTTCAATAAAAAAAAAATCAAAATTATATAACATCTTACAATTTAATTTTGAAATTGCAAACCTAAATAATGTGAAATCTTGCAAATATTTTAAGGTGATTATTGGAAGCGTTGTGAATATTAAAATTTGTCCGTTTATATCTTCGCATAAAATGATGACGTCATCTTACAATTTTCTCGAATGTTCTTCAAATTTCTGAATGTTTACGCTAGACATCCAGTTTTTTTGGAAAAAAAATTAGTGTGCTTAATTAATTAATTAGTTCTCCTCTCCTTTAGGTTGAGGGCACAAAATAATAGTCGAATTTTTTCGAAGTATAAACATAAACAGTCGAAGTTAAGCATGTACTATGAAATTGGGAAATATCTAAATTTTTTGCTATCTGCTTTAAATATGTTTCAAAGTGTCCACACGTCTATTGTTTCTTCTCTTTTACGATGTTCAACTCTTCGAGTTCTTATTTTCAAATTTCTCAGTTTTTCGATTTTCAATTTTTCGTTGCGGTTTTTTATTTTCTTTATTACTTCAATTTTTGGATTTTTCAATTCTTGAATTTTTCAGTTTTTTGGTTTTCAGTTTTGCAATTAGTTTTAGTTATTTTAATTTTTTTTAGATTTTTCAGTTTCTCGATTTTCAATATTTCTATTCTTCAATTTTTTATTTCCGATTTGCACTTTTTCTTTTCTCTTCGAGTTCTCATTTTCAAATTTTTCCAACTTTTGGAAGTTTCAATTTTTAGATTTTGTAATTTTTCGATTTCACGAGTTTTCAATTTTATATTTTTCAGTTTTTCACCTCTTCACTTTTTCGGTTCAGTTTTTTCTTTTCTTTATTTTGTCACTCCCACGGAGCAAAAGGCAAAAGTTTGTGGGGATATTGTGGTCCGCCACTGGTTTTTACTTTATAAAGGTTACCACGAAACGAAAATCGCAAAATCAAATTTTATAATTTTCCAAAGAAACGGGATTTGTCGGACTATACTTTAAAGGCAAGGGAAGTGTTGTCAAAATAACTTTTGATCATTTTTTTTGTCAGGTTGGCAACACATTTAAAGTTATGTCAAACAGCTGTTAAGTAGCTGCCATCATTTCATTCATGTCAAAATTGACAACTATTGACAAACTAACATTGCAGCAAATAATTCAGAATTGCCAACCTAAAAATTTAGTTCAATCATTATAACATTTTCTTGTAGATTTCAACATCCGGAAATCATTTTAGACTTCGTTTCTTTGAAACTTTCTATCATTCTTCCAAAATCGCTAGTTGAAATATAGCAATTTTCACAGTTCCAGTAGCAAACAATTCATCAAAAAATTACGATTAGCGTTTTTTTTTCTTACTTTTATCACATCCTAGATTCTATTAGTTTCCACTCCCACCCCACAGAAGAAAATAATCAGCCCCGACCACCCACCCACCCTTCATTTCAGTAATTAATTTATCCAGTCTGAATTAAATAAGTGATCTTATACTGAACAGAATTAAAATTAGTCGTTAGAATGAGAAAAGTGGGGATGGGCGGGGCTAGTACTTGCTAAGATAAAACTGATTTTGGCATATCACATATCTTCCAAGAAAAGAGAGGGTGCGTGGGTGGGGCTTGTTTTTGCTAAGATAAAACTGATTTTGGCACATGACATACCCTCTAAGAAACGAGAAGGCGGATGGGTGGGGCTAGTACCTGTTAAGACTGAGTTTGGTCAATGACATATTCTCTAAGAAAATAAAGGGCGGGCGGGTGGGGTTAGTAGTACCTGCTAAGATAAGACTGATTTTAGCAAATCACATATCTTCCAAGAAAAGAGAGGGTGGGTGGGCGGGGCTAGTACCTGCTAAGATAAGACTGATTTTGGCAGATCACATATCATCCAAGAAAAGAGCTGGTGGGTGGGTGGGGCTAGTACCTGCTAAGATAAGACGTGATTTTGGCAGATGATATACCCTCTAATAAGAAAAGAGGGGGCGGGTGGGAGGGGCTAGTACCTGCTAAGATAAGACTGATTTTGGCAAATGACTTGATAGTTTTTAGAATCCTTACTACACATATTTTGTCCCTCTTTTATTAAAATTTGATTTTAAAGGCTATTTTTTGTAAAAAAAAAAAAAATGGAAACATGCGAAAATTTATTTTTATAATTCCCTGTTTAGATGTTCTTTTGTCATTTTTTTAATAAATCCGTATGCAATAAATAACTTCACCAATATACTTCATGAAATTATCCTTTACATTTTGATAATGTGAAATATGAAAATGATTGCTTTAACCTGACTGAAAGAATTTACTTACTTGCACAATCACTAAAAATATGAATGGAACAGCAGCAATTTATTACTTCGATTTTTACTTCCCGAGCGTAAGCAAAGGAAGTATTGTAATCGAGTCCGTCGGCCGACTCTCTACTTTTACGTTTTCTCGATCTTTCATGACCCCTAGAAGACGAAGAAATAGGTCTCCCATTTCCGTCTGTCTGTCCGTCTGTCCGTCTGTCCGTCTGTCCGTCTGTCCGTCCGTCTGTCCGTCTGTCCGTCTGTCCGTCCGTCTGTCCGTCTGTCCGTCCGTCTGTCCGTCTGTCCGTCCGTCTGTCCGTCTGTCCGTCTGTTGTCCCGGATTTTTATTAGACAGATAATCTCCGAAAGTACTCGACCGATTGTTGTGAAATTTTGTACTTATATTAAGAATATCATGTAGATGGTAAAACGCTAACCAAAATTTGTCTAATCATCCCCACCACTAAAGCGATGACGTCACTTCAAAATTGTACATAGTAAATGGGTTTTCAATTGTATAAAATAACATAGTCCTACACATGTAGTTTACAACTCTGAATCGACTTTTCACCCGAAACGTCCAGATTTTTGGAAAAAAAATCAAAATTATAAAACAACATTTTGAAATTTAATTTTTAATCTGCTAACCAGAATGCTTTGAAATGTTGCAGATGTTTTAAGGCTATAAAGAGCATCATAAATCTTTAGTCAAAAAATATTTGCTTATCCCCTCCAAAAACTTGATGACGTCAGCTCAAAAGTTTGTGGAATAAATCATATCTAAAATGTACAAAATATGATGAGTCTGTACTTGTGATCTATCACTCCATTCATATTTTTTGGATTTGCATATACAGGGTGACTCAAAAAAATTAATGAATGCGTAAATATATTTTATTGATTTAATCAGGAACTACAAAACCGAATGCTCTGAAATCTTGCAGATGTTTTAAGGTCATAAAGAGCATAATAAATGTTTAGTCAAAATATATTTGCTTATCCCCTCCAAAAACTTGATGACGTCAGCTCGAAAGTTTGCCGAATAAATCATATCTAAAATGTACAAAATATGATGAGCCTGTACTTGTCATTTATCACTCCATTCATATTTTTTGGATTTGCATATACAGAGTGACTCAAAAAAATTAATGAATGCGCAAATATATTTTATTGATTTAATCAGGAACTACAAAACGGAATGCTCTGACATCTTGCAGATATTTTAAGGTTATAAAGAGCATAATAAATGTTTAGTCAAAATATATTTGCTTATCCCCTCCAAAAACTTGATGACGTCAGCTCGAAAGTTTGCCGATTAAATCATATCTAAAATGTACAAAATATGATGAGCCTGTACTTGTCATTTATCACTCCATTCATATTTTTTGGATTTGCATATACAGAGTGACTCAAAAAAATTAATGAATGCGTAAATATATTTTATTGATTTAATCAGGAACTACAAAACGGAATCCTCTGACATCTTGCAGATGTTTTAAGGTTATAAAGAGCATAATAAATGTTTAGTCAAAATATATTTGCTTATCCCCTCCAAAAACTTGATGACGTCAGCTCGAAAATTTGCCGAATAAATCGTATCTAAAATGTACAAAATATGATGAGTCTGTACTTGTGATTTATCATTCCATTCATATTTTTGGATTTGCATATGCAGGGTGACTCAAAAAAATTAATGAAGGCGTGAATTTATTTTATCGATTTAATCAGGAATTATAAAACCGAATGCTTTGAAATCTTGGGAATATTCTAAAGTTATTATAAGCATGGTAAACTTTTGTTCAAAATGTATTTGTTCATCCCTCCTAAAAAAATTGATGACGTCACCCTTAAATTTTGCTGAATAATTCCTATCTAAAATGCAAAAAATATGATGAGTTTGTACTTGTGATTTATCATTCCATTCATATTTTTTAGATTTTCTTAAGAGGTGGTTCAAAAAAATTAATGAAGTCAATTTATTTTATTGATTAAATTAAAGGCAACACTTATTATTAGTATTACACCCCAACCAACCCAATTTGGTAGACACAAAATTTGTTAAAGGAAAAACTCGGTTGAAACATAAGGGTAGCATGCTTATTTACATCGACTTTAACATTACAGACCTGCATTTGTTTTATGCGTTCACTTGGTTCCGCGAATGTGAAATAGACATGTTTATAATCAACCAATTGTGAATTTCACCGTCAAGAATTAAAATAAAACCCAATGTTTTATATAATAAGCGGAAGTCGAAGCAATAAAACCGATGGTCGTTTTGTTTACAGTTTCTCTGTTTGACTCTCAAGTATGCTGTTACGCCTGTCATCTTAAATTAAGAATGTTTATACATACACGATTTTCAGCTGCCTGGGATACGTATACGTGAGTAAATTGTTTCGTTATTTTATTGATTATTACAAATCAATATTCAAAACGACCCAATTCATTTTCCCGAAAATTTGAGAAAATAATAATTTTATTCTTAGTATTACACTACATCTATCCCAAACTGATATACGTGTCCTTGCAAAAATGTTGATGACGTCATCGCAATTTTTTTTTAAATTCCCACTACAAAAATGTAATGAGAAAAAACACAATAGGCATGCAGTCGTCAAGTTTCCGACAGCGAGGGAAGTACTGTCTAAACTCTTTAGACCAATTTTTTCGATTTTGCACATTTTCGATTTTGCAAGTTTTCATTTCTTCAATTTTTCGATTTGCATATTTTGGCTTCGGTTCTTTGTGTTCTTTATTTTTTCAATTTCTCGGTTTGCAGTGTTACAATTTTCTAATTTTTCCTTTTCAAGGTGAAAATTTTCAGTTTTAGGATTTTTAAATTTTTCAACGTTTAGATTTTTTAATTTTTCATTTTTTCAATTTTAGATTTCTAATTATTCTAGTTTTCATTTTAAATACATATGTATCTAATAATTATTATTATAATCTTTTAAATTTTTCACTTTGTCAATTTTTCGGTTTTAGAATTTTTCCATGTTTCAAGCATTCAACTTTAAAACTTTTTCATTTGATCGATTTTTAAATTTTTAGATTTCAAAATTAAAAATTATTTTAGAATTATTATTTTTTTCCTAGAGGGTGTACCATTTGCCAAGATCAGTCTTAACTTAACAAGTTCTAACCCCGCCCACCGGCCCTCTATTTTCTTAGAGGGCATATAATTTGAAAAAGTCAGTCTTGTTTTAGTAAATATGAGCCCCGCCCACCCGCCCTCTGTTTTCTTAGAAGGTATATCATTTGCCAAAACTAGCCTTACCTTAAAAAGTACTAACTCCGCCCACCCGTCCATCCGCCCACCCGCCCTCTCTTTTCTTAGAAGATATATGATTTGCCAAAACCAGCCTTACCTTAAAAAATACTAACTCCGCCCACCCGTCCTTTATTTTCATAGAGGCTACGTCAATCGCCAAAATCATTCTTATCTTAGCAAGTACTAGCATACCTGTCCTCTATTTTCTTGAGGGCGGGTAGGCAGGGCTAGTATTTACTAAAATAAGAATAACTTTTTCAAGTATTATACCCTCTAAGAAAATAAATTGTACTAGAACTTGTTAAGGTAAGATTGATTTTGGCAAATGACTTACTCTTCTATTTTCTTAGAGAGTACCTATATCATTTGTCAAAATCAGTCTTATCTTAACAAGTACTAATTTACTACCGTAAATTTTGAAGATAACGTCATGCCATTGTTGGTGGGAATAATTAGACAATTTTTGGTTAGCATTTCACCATCTACGATTCCTAACATTTAACTAAAATTTAACAACAATCGATAGAGTACTTTTTTCTAATAAAATTGACAAAACAGACGGAAAAGGGAGATCTACTTTTTCGTGCTCTAGGCCACAAAACGTCGAGAAAACCGAAAGCAACTAATCGTCGGATGGACCGTATTTTAGCTTACGCTCAGGAAATAAGAGGGATTTACAAAAGAGTACATTATAAAAACGATCACAGTACCTCTGACTACACCGGATACAAAACAAGTCGCCGTAAACTACCGGAAATAACTACTTCTTCAACATCAATTTTACAGTTGCGGAGGCAAAACATAGCATGAAAACTCATTTGTAATTTAAGCCTTCTCACCGTATCGAGTGAAATATTGCCAAGGTTTTGATAAAAAAACAAACCCCTGAGGAAACGTATATTTCCCACAAGTATAAAAAAAAACAACCCTAGTTTTTAGACGAGTGAGAAATGGATGCAATTAGCCAAGTTATACTTAAATTTTAGTCACATAATAACGGCATTACTCAACATGGTGGGAAAAAAATTTTTATGATGTAATTCCTAATAGAGAAATATTTATAAACTTGAAACGCTGGTGTCATACAAACTAAACATAATAAAATATCAACATAAACCATCGTAGTAAATATATTAATAAATAATATCTCACACAAAAATGTCTCAGTCGTAGGACTAAACTAGAATTTAAATGACGTAATTATTATACATCGAGGGAAAGAAATGCATGATTTTTCCTGAGGTGTAATTTACAGCAGGGGGATAAACCTTTGAATTTCTAATTTTATTATAAAAAGGGATACATAAGGAAACTCTCTAGGGAAATTCTTTGAATATTGTCTCCCTAGAGAATAATACTTGATTTCCATCTCGATTTTGGTATCCCAGAAAACAATTTCTGAGAGGAAACGAATATTTCATATTTATAAAAAATAGGGTGCTACTGCTTTAATAGACACAACATGATATTTATACTTGTCCCTTAAATATTTTTTTTCGACAATTTTTTTACAAAGACCCAATACTCATTAATAAAACTTGTTTAAACGATATCGCACTCAATATTTATTTTGGTCTCGCTTAAAAAACAAATTACAACTTCCAGCCTGACACAAAAAATTTAATATTTCACCACCAACGCAACTTTCTTACACTTCCAAATATTGATCAGATCATTATCTCCCGTATCGTGTTTACCAGCATATAACTTAAAACCGATCTTACATGCTCACATTAAGCGCAAGTTTCTTCATAATCTTGAAAATGTTTGGTATAATTCCAGTGAAATTAATTTCGGAAACTAATTACTTAAACACGCCGGGTATTAAAACCGATTCCCTTAAGCGCTTTTCTTTTGGAAGGATTTATTAATATCACCGTTTACACAGAGATTATAAGGAAAAATCCGAGAACTTCAACGTTTGGATTAATTCTGCATTATTAATCCGATCGTGGGGACGAAAACTGAACCACAACTTTTACAAAGCTTACATATTTCACGTAACCCAGACATTCAAATCCACAATTAAACCCGAATGCAAATTATTATAGACATTCAACGTGCAATTATTAATAAATTCCTCGTGCTGCGAAATTAATGAGTGAGTGTATTCTAATATGACTTACATTTTAATGAGCTAGGGCGAATATTGAGACATATATTTGCTTTAATAATAATTATACAGCACCACATTACATACACTTCGTTTACGATTTAGCATCCCGATGACTGAAACAATTGTAAGGTAAAGTTGATTATATATGCTTTTCACAAGAACGCACCAGAGGGTGTGGACTAAGTCATGTGGTGCATGAAAAGCACTCAACTCCGCTCTTTCGGAACTTCCAACTGCACCAATGATACATTAAACTAATGAGATGTATCGCAAATCACCGGTTGGAAGCACTTGTTGCGGACAAAAGTAAACGCTGCTGATTGCCACTGGAACTGGATTTCACTCGCGAATTAATGGCGAGTGACCCAATGGTTCAAAGTAGGTGAATTAAAAATGTGCCAAATTCCACGCCCCCGAAAATAAATTCTTTTCGTTCAGTTTTCATAGGAATTCGTGTGGTTTGCCGATAAAGGATGACACGCATCAATCATGATCTTTATGCATGTTTTGTGTAATTCACATTCCGCTCTAAGCGAGCAAAATTGCACGTCATAAATATAAAAGCTCGGGTTGCTCAGTTGCGTGGGCCTGAGCTGGTGTTACACGTGCTACAACGCGACACGAGATCAAAGATTAAATTTAACACTATAATGTCAGGTTTTACGCGTAATGCTAATGAGATGAATCGGATTCGGCAGCCCGAAATGGCCGTTTTGTTATTTGTTGTTATTAAGGATTACGCAGAAACTGGAATAAAAATTGTAACGGAGTGTTGTAAACCGCTGGAGGCAAAACCGTGCTTCAGAGTCCATCACAGTTTTTCTTTTATTTTTTTAGTTACACAACTAAAATGTATCATATAATTTATAGATATTTACTCATAGGACTTAAAAATGTCCAAGATACTTAAACATAATTAAAAGAAATTATTATTTAGTCTATCGAGAAAATTTGTTAAAAAATTAATAGTCATGTTGATAAAAGATGGAGGTCTGAAATTTTGCCTAAAAGTTTTTGGTTACCTTGGCTTGACGACAGTATACAAAATTAAAGAGTTACATCATTTATTATGCAGGGTAATTAAATTTGAAAATTGTCGGGTTTCTCGTATTTTAAAAATAGAACGTCCCGTATTTTTTTGGAAATTATTCTTAGAAACACAAGAAAATTTCTTTCTTTTGTTTTTCTATTTATTATTTTTAGATTCTTTATTTTTAGAAATTCTTTCATTTTATTTCTTTACTTTGGTTCTTTTGATAGGTTTGTTACTTTTCTTTATATTTTGTGCTTTTCTGGTTACAACATTCGCCATGAAGACATCATTTTCCACGTACATTATATTGAAATTGATATCTTTCCCTTTTCATTATTCTCGTTTTCCATCTTGTAATCACATCAGATAAACTTCTTTGTAATACATATTACATTTTTTGTTTTATCATATTCCTCCATAATGTACAATTTTAACTTTCTTGCATTTTATGCTCTGATATTATATTTTTTCAATCTTCGTTCTTTCTTAGGTATCTTTAAGTTTCCTAATTTTGAGATCCAATCTTTCCTGTGATATTTTCAAATTGTGTTCAAATACGATGCATATCTCACAAAATTTGTTCATATACAGTATACACGAATTCTCTGTGTAGAGCAAAAATCCACCAAAAATTCTGGAATATCGAAGATAAATCTGGACAAACTGAATCCGAAAACAAGGTTTGTTGAAAGTTCTGGACCAAAATTTTAAAAATATTCGGGTTTGAAAGTCTTCTTTTTAATTCCTAAAAATTGTCGTGTTTTATTTTGGCACTTCTGGGAAAATGATAAGAATTTTCGAAGAAATGAAGCCGAATTTACATTCTGGAGGTCAAAACCTGTAAAAAAATTTCATTGGTTAATTTAATCTTTTCTGTGGTAGTGTTTAAATACGATGCATTTCAAAAAATGTGTTCATATACAGGAATTGCCTATGTAGAACAAAAATCCATCAAAAATTCTTGGATATATGAAGATAAATCTGGACGAACTGAATCGAAGAACATAGCTTGTTGAAAGTTCTAGACCAAAATTTTCCAAATATTCGGGTTTGAAAGTTTTTTTTTTAATTCTAAAAATTATCATGTTTCATTTTGGCGATTTTGGAAAAATTGTAAGAATTTTCAAAGAAATGAAGCAAAATTTACATTCTGGGGGTCAAAATCTGCAAAAAAATTTCATTAGGTAATCTTTGAAGGTGCTCGAGGAAACGTCAAAAATTTCATAAATGGGGGATCATTGAAAAATTGATGTTATCCATTTTTTACTTCCCGAGCGTAAGCAAAGGAAGTATTGTAATCGAGTCCGTCGGCCGACTCTCTACTTTTACGTTTTCTCGATCTTTCATGACCCCTAGAAGACGAAGAAATACGTCTCCCATTTCCGTCCGTCTGTCCGTCTGTCTGCCGTCCCCGATTTTTATTAGACAGATAATCTCCGAAAGATTGTTGTGAAATTCTGTAGTTATATTAGGAATATCATGTAGATGGTAAAACGCTAACCAAAATTTGTGTAATCATCCCCACCACTAATGTGATGACGTCACTTCAAAATTGTGCATAGTAAATGGGTTTTAAATTGTATAAAACAATATAGTCCTAAACATGTAGTTTACGACTCCGAATTGAGTTTTTACCCGAAACGTCCAGATTTTTGGAAAAAAAATCAAAATTATAAAACAACATTTTGCAATTTAATTTTGAATCTGCTAATCCGAATATTTTGAAATGTTGCAGATGTTTTAAGGCTATAAAGCGCATCATAAATCTTTACTCAAAATATATTTGGTTATCCCCTCCAAAAACTTGATGACGTCAGCTCAAAAGTTTGCCAAATAAATTCTATGTAAAATGTACAAAATATGATGAGTCTGTGCTTGTGATATATCACTCCATTCATATATTTTGGATCTGCATATACAGGGTGACTCAAAAAAATTAATGAATGCGTAAATTTATTTTACTGATTTACTCAGGAACTACAAGCCGAATGCTTTGAAATCTTGAAGGTGTTTTAAAGTTATCATAAGCATGGTAAGTTTTTGATCAAAATGTATTTGCTCATCCCCCTTAAAAAATGTATGACGTCACCACAAAATTTTGCCGAATAAATCCTATCTAAAATGTAGAAAATATGGTGAGTCTCTTCTTGTCATTTATCATTCCATTCAAATTTTTTCGATTTCCATATACAGGGTGACTCAAAAAAATTAATAAATGCGTGAATTTATTTTATTGAGTTAATCAGGAACTACAAAACCGAATGCTTTGAAATCTTGCAGATGTTTTAAGGTTATAAAGAGCATAATAAATGTTTAGTCAAAATATTTTTGCTTATCCCCTCCAAAAAATTGATGACGTCAGCTCGAAAGTTTGCCGAATAAATCCTATCTAAACTGTACAAAATATGATGAGTCTGTACTTGTAATTTATCACTATATTCATATTTTTTGGATTTGCATATACAGGGTGACTCAAAAAAATTAATGAATGCGTAAATTTATTTTATTTATTTACTCAGGAACTACAAAACCGAATGCTTTGAAATCTTGAAGGTGTTTTAAAGTTATCATAAGCATGGTAAGTTTTTGATCAAAATGTATTTGCTCATCCCCCCTAAAAAAATTATGACGTCACCACAAAATTTCGCTAAATAAATCCTATCTAAAATGTACAAAATATGATGAGTCTTTTCTTGTGATTTATCATTCCATTCATAGTTTTTGGATTTGCATATACAGGGTGACCCAAAAAAATTAATGAATGGGTAAATGTATTTTATTAATTTAATCAGGAACTCCAGAACCGAATGTTTTGAAATCTTGCAATTGTTTTAAGGTTATAAAGAGCGTAATAAATTTTTAGTCAAAATATATTTGGTTATCTTCTACAAAAAACTGATGACGTCGGCTCAAAAGTTTGCCGAATAAATCCTATCTAGAATATACAAAATATGATGAGTCTGTACTTGTAATTTATCATTCCATTCATATTTTTTGAATTTGCATATACCGGGTGACTCAAAAAAATAATGAAATCTACTGCGAAAAAAAAACATAATAGACATGCAGTCGTCACGTTTCCGACAGCGAGGGAAGTACTGTCTAAAACCTTTAGACCAATTTTTCGTCTTTGTATCTAGTTATTGTCCTTTTATTTTCTCCTGTGTTGTTTGATTTTTGATTTATTATTTTTAGATGGAGAAAGTAGTATTATATTTTTTATTTTATATATTACATATTACTCCATAATCTACAGTCTTTGCTCTCTTGTATTTTATGTTCTAATTTTATATTTTTTCCAATTTTCTTGTTCTGTGTTCACTCAGTCTTCGTTCTTTTTTAAGTATCTTCTTTAAGTTGCCTTTTTTTGAAATTCAACCTTTTCTGTGATATTTTCAAATTGTGTTCAAATCCGATACACTTAAAAAAAATTTCATATACAAGAACTCCCTGCATATAAACAAAAATCCGTGACGACAGACAGACGAACAGACGGACAGACGGACAGACGGACAGACGGACAGACAGACAGACGGACAGACAGACAGACATACAGACGATAACGGGAGACTATTTCTTCGTACTGTAGAGGTTATGAAAGGTCAAGAAAACGTAAAAGTAGAGTCGGTCGACGGACTCGATTGCAGTACTTCCTTCGCTTACGCTCGGGAAGTGAAAATCCACCAAAAATTTTGGAATATAGATAAATCTAAACGAACTGAATTGAAGGTTCTGGACCAGAATCTTTGAAATATTCGTTTTGAAAGTAAAATTTTTTAAAATTCTAAAAATTGTCATCTTCCACTTTGGCGATTCTGAGAAAATAGTAAAAATTTTCCAAGAAATGAAGCAGAACATCAAAAAAAAATTCGTTAGGCAATTTTTGAAAGTGCTCGAAAAAGAGTCAAAAATTTCATTGAAAAAGAAGATTTTCAAAATATTTGGTTTGAAAGATCTTTTTTTTAAGTCTAAAAATTGCCATATTTAATTTTGACGATATTGGAATTTTCGAAGAAATGTAGCCAAATATAATAAGTTTTGGACAATATCACAGGAAACTGATATTCGGATTTAAAAAGTTTAAGTT